ATAGCATGTTATGGAGGGCTAGAAGGGTTTTTGTAGGCCTATGACCACACAATTGTGTTTACTAGAATGTTCATAAAAGTGTAAACAGACGTATTAGCATATGCATGATTTGCTATTGATGGAAATGTATGAGTGGGCAGAGTAATTAGGAAACTCCTCAGGAGGTGGAAATGTTTAGTGTTACAGATAATGTCAGAATTTTATTTATACATATTCCAATATTTTTTACCATTAATTTCTGCTTTTTTGAGGAAGTAAATACGTAACAATTTTATAGATTCAATTCCTTTTTTCTGAGCCTGCTTTTTGTTTTTTGTTTTTTTTTGCACTTCAAGATTCATGTCTTTCTCATTACACTGCAAAATCTGTCAAGAATTATTCTGCATCAGTTCTCATCATTTCTGTCCTTTCTTTCCTTCTGAAAAGCTGTGAAAAACACCTGGGAGTCTTTGACCTGTGGGTAAGTGAAGTGCAGCAGGTTTCAGTGTATTCATGAGGTTTCTGGGGAAGGACCTGTGAGACATTTCCCGCTGGTTTCTGCTCACCTTGGTGGACTCACTGTGGAGCTCAGTTTGTTTGTCTAGTGCATTAATAGTTCCAGGCCCAGTTTTGGGAATCATCTCTTTCAGAAGTCATAATGCCTTTTTAATGGGACACAACTGTTTTCTGTGGCTCCTGTCTGCTGGCCTGGCCAGTAAAGCTGAATATAGACTAGCAAACAAACTAAATTAGATAAAGACAAGTCACCTGGGTTGGTTTTATGTTGTTCAAGTTAGCTTTAAGAAAAGAAATATGACTGTTCGTAAAAAGACATTTGATTATTAAATTACAGTAGTTTTAAAAGAGGTAAATTATCTTTAAAATTTCACATGGGTTTGAATCAGATTCAGTCAGATGGTCAGTTTACACCAAGTTTGTGCATTTACTCACCAACTCGGGTCAACTTACCCCTAACCTGGGACAAATTAAGCCACGGGAGCCATATTTTTAGAACCCTTTGTCATTGACACTGACATTCTGATCATTTAAGATAATAGGAAACATCCTGAAATTACTTTAGATACTTCCTTGTACTTTTGCCTCATTTTCCCTTATCTTAACCACACAAGTAAAAAATGTCCCATCTTACCCCACTCTCCCCTACATGTATTAGAAAGCAGGCATCTTGGTATGTGTTTACTGAGGACACATTAATTAAAAAACGTAGTTACGAGCCTCTGCCCTTACTTTCATGCTCTTTCTTTTCTTTTCCAGCCTCTCAATGTGAAGCTTTATTTGCATGTTCACACATTTTACACATTAAAAAAACATTACGGAGCCACTTCCATTATTGCCTGAATGATCATGTAATACAGAAGCATTCAGCATGGACGTGCGATGATTACTTCATAAGCACACGAATACTCTCTCAAAGACTCTCTCAGTCTCCGTTTATTAACTTTGTCTTAGTAAAACTTGGCATGTCTGACCAAGAGACTTGTCAAGCATGCACATAAACATAATGCAAGTAGAAAGCACAGCATTCGCACAGTCCAACATCACTCGAGTAGTGGTGGAAAAGCATAATTTCATGCTGAATTGAATTGATTTTACACATGAAAAACAAACCCACACCAGCGAACACACAGTTTGCAAATGCACTCAAACGTGATACGCCCTTCAAATACACCAAAGCTAATTATTAAAGGTCAGATTATACATAAAAACATAAAACCTGAGCATCTCAAGCTGGCATAGCACGGTCATTCGCACACTCAAATGAAGGACATTATTTCGGTTTCTAGACATTTCACCAGTCATTAGTTACTGATCTGACCCTACGATCAGTGGCATAGGATGGGTTTTGTGTATGTGTGTGCAAACACATTGGTCTCTATACTGGCCCATGTTTGTGTTGGATGAATCTGTCATGTTGGCCTCATTGGATTTCTCAGAGCTGGTCAATAGAATCACCCTCTTTCTCTCCTCAATGTGCCTCTGTATTTCGTCCCAGCAGACACTAGATATGTTTAGTTGCGCCACTATGACACACACACTTTATTCACTAATTTTGGCACCCATTTATCGAGCCTCATTAAGCTTTCCTATGATAAATCGTGTTAAATTACAACAAGCTGGCTATACACTTCACTAGTTTGCCCTTCTAACACTGCCTTTGTCATTGTGCACGTCACACATACACACACACTTCCCAAGTACGTCCTTATCAACAGAAACTCTCAAACTTTATTACATTCAGAAATGCATCTATGCCATGCAACTTTTTAATTCCGTCACAATCCATAAGAGATTTGTTTTTAACCACCCACTAAAATCATCAGACAGCGGATAATCTATCATCCGTTCCCTCTCGCGCGCACCATTTCTATCTTGGGCATGGCATGCTTCCAGCCCTTATCAATAGCTCTCATTAAACCATGGTGGTGTCTGTCTGCCATGCCACATTACGGATGAGAGACAGATTGCTGAACTGATGTCCCACTCTTCCCGCCTTCTTTTTTTTTTCTTTTTTTTTTTTTACAAACGTCATATAGTCTGAACACATAACAGAGGAGTACAAAATATAAATGTTTCATTGTGGTTCTTCTTTTGAACTGATCGCAGCTAGTAATGTATAGCTCTACTCAAACAAAAGCTGAGCTCTGAGAAATAAACATGAATGTATGCTCTTAGAAATACAGTAGGGAGCAAAGTCTGAGACCACATTGAAAAACTGGAATTTAAACCCTTGAAATGTTTTAGGATTTTGAAAGAAAAATTTTTTTTAAATTAATGAAAAAAGATTAAAAGCTATGATGCTATGATTCTATATTATTTCTAGGTTACTAATTAAATAAGCAAATTTGTGACACTGATTGTTTGTCTCTTTCTACAGATGGTTCTTTCTTCCACTGAAGCACAAATATGCTCTTTGAATTATGCTGGAGAGCATGTGAACTTGTGGGGTTTAAGCAGCTCGAGAACTCCTGTCATTAAAGAATATACAAAGTACTAAGAAATTTTTTCAACTTTTGACTTGAACTGTTATTCTAAAGGCTGGAATACACTACACGACTTTTAAAATCTGAACAGATTTTTAAAACACTGGGCATCATAAACTTACCAACTTTGTAATAGTCACAGAGAAAAACTGGCCATCATACACTACATGACTGAGGACCATACACTATCAGACTAAGGCCACGTTTACACGACAATGATGTAGTCGAAAACAGAAAAGATTTTTTCTTTTCCCTTGCCTTTTTTAAAAGTTTCACGTATACATGACAACGTTTTCAAAACGATTCGCGTTTACACATATCCGTGAAATCGGCCAAAAACACTGTATTACGTATGCCAGGCCAGTAGTTGGCGCTATCACCTTGTTAGTAAACAGTACCTGTAGGGAAGTGACGATTATATGTTGTATATGATGTGTCTCCGCTGTTGGTTGTATTATTGGTGAAGTAAATCCACACTTTGCTGAAGAAGCGTTAGCAATCTCTTGAGCAGCAACAACTGTACCATGTACTCCGCCATTGTTGTGTATGTTTGTTGACGCTTGCCTTTAAAATCGACACGTACTGCGCATGTCTACATACCTAACACGCACTACACACGCACATGACGTCACCATTTTCAAAGATTCCCGTTTTGGGAAACGATAACGTTGGCGTTTTCAAAAACTTGCACTTTGAAACCCGTTTTCAAAAATATGCGTTTTCAGTTCCCAAAACGTTGTCGTGTAAACGAACAGGCAAAACGCATAAAAAGTTTCCCGTTTTTGGCTGAAAATGTTGTCGTGTAAACGGCCACTCAAGTCGTTCCGATCACAACAAACTCGCGCAGAAACGTGTGCCTTGACAAATTAAAACAAAGTGTTCCTAAATTGGCTGAAAATATCAAACATGTTTGACTGGCTCTGACTTTCGGCAACTAGCATCAATTTCTCCATACTGTAAATCAGCGGAAAATTGGGGCAAAAAATGTGTACTGTATTCCAGGCTTAAAAAATAAAAATAAATAACTTTTTCTCTATGGTATCAGATGTTTGGTCTTCACTGTAGTTCATCATTGGTTCTTTGTAACACCTTAATATTCATGAAAGTAAAGAACCTTTATTTTTAAGAATGAAAAAAAATTCTATGTGGAACTCAAAATGGTTCTCCTATGGTTGTACAGAGCTCGTCTGCAATTACAGACAAACAAATATATAGTTTAGTCATGAAACTCTAGATGGCGCAGGCTGATTGGTTGTTAACGTAACTGATGATATTCAGAGAGTTAAACGACTTGGCACAAGCTGATTGGTTCATGCTGCATATGCAGCCAATGAGCTTGCTGCCTTGCATTTATATGGCTGGCTATATTTATATATTAGTTCAGAGTTTCTTTGAAACACTCCACCTTCCCCAGCTCCACCTGTATAGATCTGCTACGGGTTATTGTATATGCTATTTGTGCAGCAGCAGAATGTCTTAAATACTCACGGCACCGTATCGCCGTATGCATTGGCAGTAGCAAGTTCCTGTACTTGCTTGCAGCAGCAGCAATAATCTACAACTACAACAATAACCAACAGCAGCAGCAATTCAGCAGCAGCAGCGTAGCAGATCTATTCCGCCAAGACCAAATACATTAACATTGTCATATCCATCACCATGCTAAAATCTTCAGAGAGTTGTCATGATTAAAATAGAGATTTTGGTTTAAGTCTTCTACTTAGCAGATTTTTCTGCTGAGAAAAAGCCCCTAAAATGTATTTCCTCTACAGTTTCTGAAGAGATCTCAAACAGTGCTCAGATTTTCCAAGATGCAAAAGTCTACAATAAAAACCCAGAAGGTTTGATTTTTATAGCTACGTACTTTTACAGGATGTCAAAAATTGTCTCATTTTTATGTCTCATGAATAATTATAAGAAGCAACATCTAATGCAAAGTTGATACTTAAATGAGACATATCTGAGAACTTAATTAACAAGCGACCTCCGAGCAATGAAGTCATCCTCACACCCACTCACCTGGAGTTTGTCATGTCCGTCTGTCCTCCTTGACTTTTTTCCAGGCCCAATTTGGTGAAGATCCCAACCAGCACCATGATGGCCACCACTCCACATATTATGTACACAATCATGTGAGTGCGGTCTCGATCCGGTTCCTCCTGGACATCGGTCACCGGAGCCGCCGGCTTGCCTGTGTTGGCCCACACCGGTGTGTCGTAATTGGAACAAGATGTCTGGTCCAGGCTGTGAACCTTGAACTGGCAGCAAAATCGATAGTAGCAGGAGCCACAGCAGAACAGGTATATTCCTGCATTACAGTTAAACGGAGGATCCCATTGGCCCATTACATCATAGTAACCCCAACAGCGGCTCCCAGCTGACGGGATTTCGTCTGCGTCTGACCCCGGGGTCGCAAGAGTGACCTCCGGGGCACCAGACGGAGCAGCCGTCCGATTGGTGGCTTGCACACCTGTGCTGGCAGTGTTGGATTTTTGACCTTGAGAAACGTAGCTCAAAAGTAAAATGGCAGTAAACACATTCAAAAACAGGTGTGAGGCAGCCATGATCCTCTTTAAGTAATCCCACAATGCGTATCCCAGAATGCAACAGCACCACTGGGAAAAATTAAACCAGTGGAGTTTAGTTAATGTGAACCAAGAAAGCAAGTTTGCTGAGCAAAGTGATCTGTCTCCAAGTTTAGAGCAGGTTTAATGCTGACTCGTTGTCCGGCTCCTAAAAGAATGGCAAGCTGATACAGGGAAAGCAGCCCTCATCAGGGAATGAGACGGAGAGTTTTCCACGCCACTTCAGCACACAACGTGCTCGCCGTTCTCATCACTACAGGGAGAGAGTGAGAGCGAGCAAGATTCCCCCCCTTTGGAAAAACGCCAGATTCAAGGATCTCACCATGTGACAAACTGTTTCGTGGCCCGAGAAAAAAACAACACTTGGTAGAATTCCAATTCAGAAGCCTGAAGAAATGACACTGTTGGAATCAAGCCTTATCCGTGATCTTTGTCCCACCAAACAATGCGTGATGTCGGCGAGGAAGAGATGCCTCACGCTAGAGTTTGGAGGGATTCCACAAGTCATTCTCAGTGATTTACACCGCTCTGTTCTCTCAAAGGAATATCTGTTGTTCTTTAGTCCTCCTAATGCTTTTGTTCTCACAATCAAGGTGTCTTCCTTCTGCTCAGTTCTTTTCCCTGTGACAAAACACCAAAACATATTGTCATACACTCCCATTTTCAGTTGAAAAAAAGATTATGATTAAAGATTTCTGCTAAGATGTTCATGTAACAGTTATTAATTGAGTTATTGCAGTTCTAAAAGTATACTATACTATACATATAAATGTATAAGTCTGAATATATAAATATAAACTATAACGATATATAGTTTATATATCATTTTTGGTTCAAAATATTTTCCACGCATTGTCACCCAAATATTTTTACTGATAGTTATGAATACATAAATGTTAATAGGAATATATAGTTGTAATTCTAAATATGTAGTTACAAATCTGAATATATTAATTTAAATTTAAATATTACACATAAATATAAATTATATATATAATGATCAATTGTAATTATAATACAGTTAAATAAAATATATAAAATATGATTATGGCGTTTATTAATAATTTAATTATTTTTACATAATTGTTTGTAATATACATAACATGGACACTTTTAAAATAAAATGTTTTGTCATAAATACAATGTGTTGGACCCTTCAGAGCTGCATGTGCTAATCTGAACACGATCTAGACCAGAATGAGCAAATTTGCAGATTGTTTTTTCACTCGATTGCTCTTAATTGGAAGCCAAAACACAACTCTTCTTTTCGAATCTTTCAAACTAACAGGACTGATCTGATCTGATCTGCTAAACTCTATTCTGTGTGTGAACATGCAGCTGTATCTCACATTGGGCACTTTTGATCAGATATTCTCTCTGGTTCACATACGCTCTCTGCTTCTCTCTCGCTCATAAACATCGCTCGCAATCCCCACAGGAAAGAGAAATCACAAATGAGCTCCATTCTTTCTTCTAGACCACAGTCTCCATTTAAATGGGTGCTTCTGCTGAGGAGAGTTTCAACAGAGATCACAACATTGCCTCAAACTGTCCTCTGTTTTGACCAATACACCAAAGTCTGCAATTTTAGTATGAACTCAAACTCATTCTAATCAAAACCAAAATGATATTCTATCCACAATATTAGTTTAACTTTCTGTTTTTTTCTCCAAAGACATTTCAGGAGAAACATCTGAGACAAATTTGCTACTCCTACAAACATGAGTGTGAAGTCTCCTGAGCAATAAAAGAGCAACCTCTGAGCAACATCAACACATTTTCCTCTGGGTCTGGCTTCTTTGGGGCCTCTTCTTCTCAGTTCTATCATTTTGCTGCAGTTTCAACTCTTTCCTTTGCTGTTCCTCTAAATCTACCACACACTCACACACACAAAGAAAGCAAGAAAGAAAGAGGGTCTCAGCATTACAGCCCCTCAGTTTTTTCACACACAAAAACGCAAAACGCTCACACACACACACATAAAAAGACACAACAGCACACCTAATCCAGCTCCCAAAGCACCTATCTACGCTTCCTCTCTGTGTCTGTCGCTCTCCATGTGGATGCTCGGTGCAGATGCACACGTCTCAGAATGCAACAGATCAGCTTCCTACAACGGAGGAAATGCTTCTGAAGCGTAGAATCTGAATCCATCGGCTTACCCATATGCTGTTTATGAAAACAGGCATACTGTATATTGATATATGTATATGATTGTTATAGATATATCTCTATATGTATGTGTTTTCACTGGAGGCTCTGAAGAAGTTCTCCTCAGAAAAAGCAAAAGCAAAAGAAAAAGTGACAGTGGATGACAGATGAGTGAGGAAGACCAACAGATGGCAGGTAATATTTATTCTCCTCAGTTTATTCGTCCCAGTGCATTCCCGTTTCTCCGTTCCCATGTCAGATTCCGTGTTCCAGGGATGGTGTGTTCCTGTGTGGAGTCAGGAACGAATGATAGTGGCTCGCGCTCCCTCTCTCTCTCTCTCTCTGTTTTGTTCTCACTGTTCAAAAATATTCCTGTCGTTTCCCTGTTTCTGTCTCTGCCTCCTCTTTGCCATATGTTTACCTGCTCTCACTGTCTCCACAACCTGCTATCCGTTTTTTTTTGTGCGTGTCAATTATCTATTGCGTTTTTCTCTTTCTATCTCTGAAAACTAAATCTTATGGTTCAACAGATGACTGCAGCAGTGTTTACTGAGACAGCAGGTCACAGATCTCTGTGTGTGTGTGTGTGTGTGTGTGTGTGTGTGTGTGTGTGGCACATGTATTCTGAGAAAAAATTAAAATAAAATACTATTTATGCTTATTCAGATGACTCAGGGGCTTATTCACAGTAGCTGTTTTGTTTTCCTGCTTTAAATTGTTTCCCAAATAGATGTCAAAGGGAATTGTCTGACTCTAGGCACCCTGCCGAGGAAGGAACAACGGAAGAGTGGATCCAGAAATATGGACTAAGGAGGGAGTGAATTTTAGGGTTTAAAGGAACGATGGATCTTATCATGGAAAAGCAAAACTATTTGAGTGAATCTCAGCCAAGTATAGAATATTTGTAGAATGTAGAATATTGTAAAAAATGTTACACCCCAAAGGAACCAAATTAATTAATTAATTAAACAGAAAATCTAACTGTAGACATTTTTACTCAAAACAATATAGAGTATATATTTATTAGTACAGGTATGTATGTTAAATTCAAACTTATGACTAGTTGCTGTAGTTTGTGAAAAATCCAAGAATTTGTTAGTTTTTTTACACAGTATATTTTTATTTATTTTTATTACAAAAATAAAGCCCTTTTTGAGTACCATAATAGATAACATATAATATATTTTTTGCATTGTGATCATTTTTATGACAACTAAATGCATTTCTTCCAATATTCATTAAAATGCATAATACAATAACGAAAATTATCTTGTACATCACTTGTTTTTAAATGTATTTATCAGATTTTTCTACTAGGAATAATGCACAGATAACAGACCCATTTGCTATAAATTCATTTTGACATTTGCATTACTTAATCAGCTGTCTTTTCTGATGTAGTAAACTTGCTCAGTAGCTGAACAGTTTCACACTTGTGTGAAACGTGCTACAAGCATCGGAATATCATTTTACAAAAATTTACCCAACAAAGTTTTTTCATTACACTAGGCTGTTTATTTTAACCCATAAAATTGCAAAACTATGATATTGCTTATAGCACCTCTTGTGGATGTGTAACCTGAAAATTGCAGCAAAATTTACAGAATTTATTAATTTATTTCTGGATTCGCTAAAGTAGTCGAGTATTTCAATGAGAATGAGTTGCTACTGACATTTGGGGAGGTGGGGTTTAAATGTACTTAACGGTCATGAAAATATTGTCACAATGCAACAAATCACAAAGGTCATAACACTTTTCCAACAGCTTTCGTAAGATTCACCCACTGAGATTTAGATAAAAAGCAGCAGAGACAAGAAAATAAATGAGGTCAAGTAAAGAACAACAAGAACAGAGGAGAAAGAGAGAATCATTTACGTATATGATAATGCTTTCGTTGAGTGTTTTGGTTGCCGGTGGCTCTGTGAGCTCTGATTGCTGTTAATTATTTCAGACTCATTTAAATGGGCTGATCTACAGCACTGATGTTTCAGAAAACAGGCCACAGCCGATGCCAGAAGGGATTCTGAAGCTGGGGGCAACTTAGCCTTTCTCTGGCCACAGGGAATCATCTCACACAATTCACTGTCTACTGCTTTTGATCACTTACATATCAACATTTAGGTTGTCACTTTTACAGTGTATTCAAGGTGTTCTCTGCGTACTGAACCCATGATCTTGGTCATTTCACCATTCGATTCCCATGCGTTTTTCTATTCTCTTCTTGCATCTTTGTACTCAGAATCAGTCTCTGGGTCTTCTCTCTGGATCTGTGTTTTTGAATTATTGAGCTGGCACAGCAGCAGCTCTCAGCACCACAGGGAAGGAACGGATGAGTCCAGAGGTCTTGTGGGAGAAATAAGGGGCAATGAGAGTTCGGGCCAGAGGAAACTTATCTTTAATAATTTCAGATACTCTCTCTCTCTCTCCGGCCTGATCATGCCATTTCTCTTCTAAATGGAGGCAACTGGCCTTGAATAATCCCATGTACTCATTTGCTTTGTGTTTATCTGTCTGTTCGGTTCATCTCATTCAGGATCTGAATTCTGAGGTCCATGCAAGAGGTTTTACCGGCATTTAGCATAAAAGTCTTTATGACTTTAAGACGACTTGGGTTGAGGTCGTAACTAGGGTTGAGGTCACTGGAAGAAAAACAACAGCAGCAACATGGCTTAAAGAAAAGTTTGGACACAATAAATGGAGCAAAATTTTTCATTGAACAAACAGTTTGCAGCACTAATTTCTTCCCGACATCCATTTTCAAATAAACAACTCCTGTTTCATGTGTTGTTTCGCGTCATTCCCGTTCCAATTCTCGCGTGTGTTTTCGTGGCAGCATTTCCGACTTAGCATAAGGCTAAGTTCACACTACACGGCTTTAATCGTCGGCAGATCGCTGTGCTGTTCAGACTACATGACTTGATTTTCTGTCTTTAAGTCGTGGTGTTCACACTACGTGACTCTATGTAAATGATCCGCAACCGGGGGTTACACACTACACAAGCTGACAACAACTCTGTCACCCAACAACTCTACAAACCACGTTTTGTCACGAAAACACACGCCAGAATTGGAACGGGAACGACGCGAAATAACACATGAAACAGGAGTTGTTTATTTGAAAATGGATGTTGGGAAGAAATTAGTGCTGCAAACTGTTTGCTGCTGTTTTTCTTCCAGTGACCTCAACCCATGCCTTGTTCTCTCATTGGCTGTAGCTCGTCACGACACCTTACACCACGTGATGTCGACCGGTCCAGATATTTGGCATGCTAGATATTTGTTTGCCGTCGGCGAGGTGTCGGCGACGCGTCAGCGAGCCTCTTTGATGCGTCGTTGTGTAGTTCACACATAAAGATTGCCGAGTGCCAATCACCCACTGATTTTCCCCGATCACAGCCCGACCTGTTGGCGAGCTCGTTAACTTGCAAATTGGGCTTAAATCGGGCTTAAAATCCTGTAGTGTGAACTAGGCATTAGCCATGTTAGAACCATAATAATCAAGACAAACAACGTCAGACAGGCAAATCACGTGGTCTCGCGAATCCTGTCGCTTCGCTTCTGAAATGCTCCTGGTGTGAGTTGGCACCATGTGGAGGATGGAACAAAACCTCGCCGGAGCCGTAACGCACCGCAGACACGTGCAATGTAAATAAGGGTCACAAAACAATGTTCCTCCGCACGTAACTTGTAAATTTATGCTTCAACCACTAGAGGGCTTAGTGTAAACTTTTTTCTTTCAGAAAACATACAATGCCATTGAACATCGAAGAAAGCCAACAGAAGTGGCGGATACATATAACAGATCTTACTAAAAAATCACTGTAATGTACAGCTGTTAATGACTTGAAATCAGTTGCGGAGCATCTGTGTATGCAGGGTATGCAGGTGCATATGGGCCCAGGCAGTTTGGGGGCCCGCCGAGCTGGGGGGAACATTTAATTGAAACTAGGGAACAAATAGAGCCCTGCCTGGGCCCGGCCCTTGTCCAACAGCTTATGAGAATTCTCGACCGGAGTCCGACTGGATACCGTGTCTTTGTTCTCTCTCTCCTCCCCATTACACAGCTATTAAAATAGTTCAGTTTTGGTTTTTAATGGCAAAGTGGTCATATTTCTTTTTGTTTCTTTATTAAGTTAATTTAGAAATATGTTTGGAACATTTTATGTTTGTTAAATTCAAGTTTTTGTTTTTTAAAGGAACGACCAAGCGGCAGCGGCAGACAGTGAGTTGAGCATTATGTTTGATCAATTTAGCCTTCTCAAACCAACACGACTTGACTAAAATAAACAGACATAAAACACTTCATGCATTTCACAGTGTTAATTTAAACATTTAACCTAGATAAATGAGCGCTGTTAGGCGCATATCCAATCGTTTGTGCGGCGAGTTGAAGCTAAAGCGCGCTTTGCAGGACATGGAGGCGCCAGCGTGATCACTTGCATTTTTTTTTTAATAACAGTGGAAACGTAAAAATACGCTGTCAATTTTGCTCATAAAGGTAAGAGTATACATCATTCAGAACTGCAAAGGGTCTACTTGGATTTGTGTGCACTCACAATATCAACAAAACCTTGTGCTTTTGTAAAATAAGGAACACAAACAGGACGCGCTTTCTGTCCTCTTGGTTTTGAGCAGGAGCGCTTCACCGACATGATAAATATATCTATAGAATGCTTTAAATGACTATTTTAAAACGAAATAATTCAAATCGAAAACAAAAACTCTTTCATTATGTAATCCGTAAAGATGCATTTCTCTCTAAAGGCACGTCCAATGAGGATGGATAGTCAACATTAACATTGACTCATTAGTTTATTAACAAATAATTCAAATATCCCCTCACTATTTTTTACTTTTTTTGTTTGTTGTTTGTCTTTTTTTGTTGTTGTTTGTTTGTTTTTTTGGCTGCTGTGCCAAAATTGTGTTTGCATTCAGTA